TGCACATTTGCTCAGGGTAAGCAAGAGTGAGGAAAAAAAAGGTAACCAGCATTAAATCGAAAATGACCTTGTCTGAGGTTTTTCAACCTAAAAGAAAATACAGCGTGCGTTTTTGCCGAACAAAGAGAGTCCTCTCTCTCCCCCACCATTGTAGCAAACGATAAAAGTATATACGATCCTCTCGTTACTTCTTTTATTCGTGCTTCTTTTTTTCTACTTTAAACCAACCTACGAGTGTAGAAACTCACAAGGCAAGCAAGAAAAAGATAAGGACGAAGAATGTGGAGAAGAATAAAGAAGAACTTGGGTTACATATCTACTCATACACCTATCCCGATAGGATGTTATATTGTTTGTATATAAGGATGTATATAAGGTTTGTACTTACAATCTCGAGCGAAGGTTGTCTGTGTTCCGCTGTGTGGCCTCGTCCGTAGGCCCAGAGGATGAAAAAAGAATGATGCTGGAAGGAAAAAAAGAGATGAAGGCAGAAAAGAAGCATTCCCTGAATGAAAAAAAGAACGAGAATGGGAAAAAAATTGCCTGGGATGGTTGCAACCAAGCAACCTTGGCTCCAATGAGACCCCTATCCTCGGTGAACCATTGGACATGCGATGGGATGAAGTATCGGCAATATTGTTATCCGAGGTTTTTGGTTATATTTCGACAACGACCTTAATAGCGATGGTGTAAGGAGGGCAACGAGTTGATGGCCCTCAGAAACGACAGCGGCAGACACTTGTTGACCTTCTCAAATCTCCGGGTCCAGATCCTTTCCTTCTTGCAGGCATTTTTGGTCCCCTCTTCCTCTGGTCCATTGGCCAAATTTCTGGGGAAGCTGCCAATATTTGATCAACCCTGTGTTGCGATCAGGATAACTCGAAAATATAATGATCCGAGCAATGCCAAAAAATTCAACAATCGCTTGAAAAAAGGATGGTTGTACAAAGGCGCCCAAATCTCCGTATCCAGATCCTTTCGTTCTTACAGGCATGTTCATTCACCTCTTTTTCTGGTCCAGTGATCAAATAACTAGAGAAGCTACCAATATTTCATCAACCCTGCACTGTGATCGCGATCACTCCAAAATTTATGGATCCGCCAATTCTATTGAGCAATGTCAAAAACATCTACAAGCACTTGAAAAACGGATGGTTGTAGAAAGACAGCCAAACCTCGAGGTCGAAATCGTTTCTTTCCTACAGGCATGTTCATTCACCTCTTCTTCTGATCCAGTGATCAAATAGCTGGAGAAGCTGCCAATATTCGATCAATCCTGCATTGCGATCGCGATCACTCCAAAAACTTCAACAATCGCTTGAAAAAAGGATGGTTATACAAAGGCGCGTAAATCGCCGGGTCCAGATCATTTCTTTCCTACAGACGTCTCCATTCGCCTCTTCTTCTGATCCTGTGCTCAAATATCTAGAGAAGATCTCAATATTTGATCAATCCTGCATTGCGATCGCGATCACTCCAAAAACTTCAACAATCGCTTGAAAAAAGGATGGTTGTACAAAGGCGCCTAAATCGCCGGGTCCAGATCATTTCTTTCCTACAGACGTCTCCATTCGCCTCTTCTTCTGATCCTGTACTCAAATATCTAGAGAAGATCTCAATATTTGATCAATCCTGCATTGCGATCGCGACCACTCCAAAAACTTCAACAATCGCTTGAAAAAAGGATGGTTGTACAAAGGCGCCTAAATCGCCGGGTCCAGATCATTTCTTTCCTACAGGCATCTCCATTCGCCTCTTCTTCTGATCCAGTGCTCAAATATCTAGAGAAAATGCCAATATTTGATCAACCCTGCATTGCGATCGCGATCACTGCAAGATCTATTGATCCGAGCAATGCCAAAAAATTCAACAATCGCTTGAAAAAAAGCATGGTTGTACAAAGGCGTACGTCACGCATCGCCACGCGTTTCGCTCACACCCACTTCCTTTTTACACCACTCCCTTGATGGTTGGGGTCCCCCGGGTGGCGTCCGGTTAAACCTCTCTCATCATTAGAGGTGAACCCCGCAAGACACTTACCAAGGTGAGGGGGCCTCCAATCGGCTCGGAGATTTGTGTCTCGTGAGGAAGTCCTGAGTGGATATCACACACCAGGGGAGGAAGGAAGCTAAGGAATTGGGGAGTGCAATATCAGAGTGAGAGATGCATGGAGAACTTGAGTTTCGACGAGACACGCACACACGATGACGTATCAAGGTGGATGGTTCAGGAGGGTGAGAAACGATTAGACCCCCAGCCTGTGTAAGCTTGATGGGTACTGCTTGTTACTGTTAAGTATTGATTCCTCAGCTTGTCCTTTGATGCCTGCTCGATCAAACTTTTGAATAACCCCTGTATGCAATCAGAAAGCCTAATAATAGAATCTCAGCCTGATGATTTTGAGGGGGGAAAAAGAAGACAGATACTTTGAATCTTATTAACGAGAAGCTGTCAACATGATGCAGCAACTTTCGAAGAAACATAAATTGCGATGATTGTACTCTTTAACCGAGACAAGTCAGCAATGTTGACCAAGTCTTTAGACAAGGAGAACCGCAGGAAACGACAATGAGAACAACCCTCCGCCGAAGTAGTGATAAATCAGCTCATCGGTCTGATCGTTAAATTCCTCGGCGATATAAGCGAAATCATTCGTTGTCGCCCACGCTCTGAAAATACAGCTTAGACTTTTAAGATCCCCTTTGGTGTAGAAGAAGTCTCGAAGAATTACGTGGTTGAAACGGAGAAAGAAAGCCATAAGGCTGTAGAGATGCTGCAAAAAGCGTTGGACGTTAGAAGGAGTCGCAAAGTATAAAACAAAAAAGCGCAAAGGAACAGAATCGGTGAGGGGCAGGGAGGGGAAATAAAAAAGGGAAAAATATATATGCACCGAAGAAGAAACCGGTTTTTTCCAGTTGGGCCAGGTCGGGGCGTCGAACCTACCGGACCACAGCCTCCCTCCGAGAATAACTTGCATGCGGCCAAGAAGATGTTTTCTATCCTTTATTTTCTGTCTTACTTACACCTCCTTCGCTTCTTCGTAAGTTTCTTATTTCTCATTTCTTATTTCTTATTCTTGTCGTTGCTTTTTTTACTTCTTTTGAAACCCACGGTGAAAGAAACACACATGCAATCCATATATACGGTGAACTGCTTTAACTCAGTCTCAGGTGACCTAGGTCCGGGATTGAAAGCAACTTGGAAAAAAGAATGGGTGGATGATAAAGGGACGAGGAAAGAGGGTAGGGGAAATGGGAAAAAGATGAGTTTGTGGTATGGGTTTGAAAAGAAAAAATAAAAGGTAGTGAGTTAAAAGGGAGAGTCTTGGTGGCAAAAAGAAATGGGAACACCAAGACCATGAAAAAGTTTTGGGTCATTGCCGTCTACACTCGTCTGGTTTTAGCCATTTCGCATTAGCCTACACGCTGTGATGTATTTTTCAAGTCAGCCTCTTTTTCGGGATCTATATTCTTTTTCTTTCACTCTTCATTCTTGGGGTCTCTACTTTGCTCGTTTAGATTACGAGGTCTCATAGGTTGTTGAACTCCGGCCGTTAGCTACACTCCAGAACCCGGAATAAGCATAAATTGATTTTTTTTTTTCATTTTTTAGTTATATTTTTCATTGTTTTGGTTGGTTTTTCGTTTTTGACTACTCTGTGTTTGGACACACGCCCCTTATGTTGTTGTTATATTTTTTTTGTTATTGGGTGCATTAGAATGCGTGGCCCTAAACTCATGTGCGTTTTTTAGTTTTTCCTCGATATAATCTCTGGATTTTTGAATTATTGCCAGATCCCTATGTTAAGGACGTCTGATTTTAGTGATTAATTATTAAGTTTACAAATTGTTTCAATACTCGAACCAAATTTTGCAGCTAATCATTGGTTCTATGCATTGCAATCACAAATCATCATTCTATAAATTTTGAAATATGATTAATGTTATAACCAAATATTGGCAACAAAATACAAGAATCCTCGGATAATCTCGAATAGCTTTGATGAGTCACGATTCTATGTCACACGCATACAATCGGGGTAGCGCAGAGCCATGGAGATTTACCAAAAGATTCTTCTTTTGTTCACTCATTGTGGATTGAAAAAAGACACGAAAAAAAATTGAATCAGTGTCAGTATGAGGCCAGTAGCGAGGTTACACGGTCCTTGGGGAATGGAGTGATGTTGAAAAAAAAGTAGTTGCAAGACAATGACGGCAAAAATTGCTCAACAAATAATCATGATCGAGGCACTTTCAGTAATTACATCTAAAATTGATCAATGACAGTTGTGCTCAAGTGTTTGGTAACCAGTTGGTTTTTATCACTGGAACCATCTGAGTATGCATTTCATTTGATAAGGAAGGGGGCATCTGGCAACACTGCAGAAAGTACAGAGTCAAGCGAAAGAGACCACCCACTCGCTCACTCCATACCCAAAGGTTCATTACCGATACTCATTTTTGTTTTTTCCACTCATCCTTGGCCTCCATATAAACACAATTTTAACGATTCATACTGGATCTCGTTGATAATAAAACATTGAGTCCATTGAAAGCCAGAAAAAGTCTGTTTCCTTGTTGATGAAAAAACAAAATCAATTACCAATATCAACGTTATTATCACAACTCTAATGCAAAGCGTAGTTACACTGGTGGCGGCAAAATTGGCGATTAGTTAGTAATTTTGTTATAATTAATTTATTTGGTAAATTATTGCCTTAACTCTCACACTTTTTGGTATCATTCTGTTCTGTGCCCGCCTGTCCTGCTGCTTCTGGTACACACACTATAATATCTCAAAAAAAACTTAAAAAAATCCAAATCAAATTACGAAAACAAAAACAAAATGCTCCTGGGCTCGGTTATCTCTGGGGTGGCGTCTCCAACCATATCTACCGGTGTCCGCGATTACCAATGGCCGCTTCTATCACGGCGAAAAAAATCTTCTGGTCATCATGCTCCAACCTTTTTGAATCACAATACCAAAAACCAAACAAAAAGGAGTTGCAACAGCGTGTTGTGTTCCAGCAACACGCCGGCCTCATCGGCGGCCCAAATGCTACCAGCTGTCCTGTCTGTCACAAGCTCTTCTTAGGAGGTGAGGCGCTTATGGAACACATGAAGATCACCCACAAGGATCCAAATGCCTCTGGTGTTGCCAGTAAGTATCTACAATTGTAAGATTACTTGATAATTCAATCAAGGGGAGTATACTATCCTGTCTCAGATGATCTTCATTCAAAATAATCTGTAATAAAAGTGAAATCTGAGACAGATCTGATAGTATACACAGTCAGCATATGAGAGTATGCTAGCCCTCAAGTATTTCACATATCCCCGGACTAGCTTTTGGCGCGGGCATACGTGTCTTACAATCTACGGCGTGGATACTGTTTGGAGATTAACTAACCTTAGACAGCAACTAATAATTCATAAGGTGGCTTTGATAAATTTTTTATGAAGCTTCATTTACATCTGTGTATGAATGACGTGAATGATTGAATAACTTCAATGATCATCCAAGTGAGAGGAAATTGAAACGGTACAATTGAGCGAGTGAATGAGATATTCTTTATCTAAGATTAAGGCTCTTCTTGGGGTGCTTTATCCTGCTTGGCATTGACCTCGACCTTGTGTCGTACTATTGTTCCCCCTGCTGACTGCACCACCTCCGTTGCCGGGGTTTACCTAGCCAAGCGAAGGACGGCCAATCATCCTTGTCCAGTTTGTGGAAAGCACTACGTCAATGAAGGAAGTCTTAGGAAACATTTGGCGTGTCATCCTGAAACTAGTCAGCTCAGCACGAATCTCAGGATGTGGCCGTGTTCTGTGTGCCAAGCAGTATACACTCATGAGAGCGGTAAGCTATCATCACTGCGATGATATAGATGTGATTTTACCATTAACATTCATCCAACATGATTTATTTGTAATTTGTGAAGGCCTGCTGAGTCACATGGAGCATATGAGAATGGATCCTAAGCACCAGTTTGCTGCACAGTACGTACTCAGTCGAGCTGCAGCGGAGAGACGCGAGAGAGAACTCTTGGCTAGCTCTAGTTTAGGTAAGATAACTCTCATTGATTATGTTGGCAAAAAACACTAACAGCGATGGAATACGGTATACCGCATACCGGACACGGATTTTAAATGTATTTTCAAAGCAGAAGAAAAACTGTAACACACGGAGAAATTTTCTAGAAAAATTCTAGTACGAGTACTGGAAAAAATCACAATCCACCGGCTATGAAAAATTCTAGTGCTGTTAAGGTAAAATTTCTTGGTATTTCTGGTAAAATTTCTGGGGAGTTCTGTGAAATTTTCACAGAAATACAGGGAAAAATTCACGTTTTCCCCAATAAAGTTTCTAGTGCCGGCACTGGAATTTTTCCTGGCCGTCACCTTGCGTCTCTTTTCCCGTGCTAGAACTAGAATTTTTCTAAAAAATTTCTCTCCGTGCACAGTAACAAACGTACAAAAAAAATAAACCGAAGAACTCGAAAAAAAGATAAGGAAAAGGAGTGCAATATTTCGACAAATATTATAGTGAATCATTTCGATCCTGGTAGGGAAATAAATCATTTAGAGCGGACCATTATCACCTGCACGCATCACTCGAAAGAATGACAATAATCTCGGATGCAAGTTGTACACTGATAGAATGATTCATTTATTCCAAACGAGATTCGTTAACTATTAACGAATGGTAGAGTTGAATATGACCAAATGATAATTCGTTAATAGTTAACGAATGGTTCACTTGAAAGGTGAAAGTCGAGTCAAACAAGACCTCTCAAATATGCATTCGTTAACTATTAACGAATAAACATTTGGTGAGACCAAATAGATCCTAGCCGTCAATCAAATTCATTTGTTAGCAATAACTAATTCTGTCTATCAGTGTACCCACGGGGCAGAATTCCAGGACATAGACCATATCTCATGGCAATGTCCTCTTCTGGTTGCCCAAAAATCGTTACTACATACACTGTTAGAAAATTACTCTTGAAATTTCAAGTGGAAAAGCTTGAAATTTTTAACAACGACAAAGTTACATTAGATTTCTGTATATTTCTTCATGTAGGAACCAGTTAATTTTTTAAATATTTAAGTAATTTTCGACTTCCAGGTTCATACCGCACTGATAGTTTGAAAATTGGAAGAATTCAGGCAACAACTTGTCTGAATTCTCAATCGATTAACTTTAGATTGGTTACCCTATGAGGGAACCCCCGCCACGCGTCGTTTTTTTTAATTATAATTGACTGGCTAACCGAGGAGATCCAAAAAAATTTGACTTTGTCAATTGAAGCATCTAAAAAATTATAGTAGTTTTTAGATCCACATATTTCCCAAAATTAACAAAGAAAATAAGTTATTTCGGACAGATGAATTATTTTTTCCCATCTTCAATGAAATTGCCCATGACGCGACGTTGCCGGAAACTCGCTAAACGCGCTCGGGTAGAGTACAGTTGATTCGGCAACGCTAAAGCCTAATAACACGGCGGGGAATCCCGGTGGAGGTGACCAAGTTGCAAGGTCGCGTTTGGTGACCAGACTAGAGTTGAAAATTCAATTTCATCGAAGGTTTAATTTTCAGAATGAGACCTCAATGAGATCTAGACATGAAAAAACCAATTTTCTTGAATTTTCAAAACGAATGAGAATGTTATGAACCTTTTCGTATGAAATGACATTCAAACTCACAACATTGACAATTCAGATGACGCTGTGACTGAAATTTCAAGAAATTTCTAACAGTGTAATGACCAAACAAGATCATTGGAATATTTCTCTCCGTATGAGACTTGCACGCATGCAAAAATTCATTGGAAAACCTAGCGATTTCGCTAGAAAATTCTATTGGAATTCTATAGGAATTCTCTGGAGTTTCCATAGGATTTCCATTGGAATTCTCGTGAAAAATTATACTTGTTGTTTGCGCTAATTCTATTGCATATTTGATAGGAAGAAATTGATATATTTTGAATTTCTGTTCGAATTTTTCTCTTGAGAATTTTTCTATTACAATTATGGGCACAAATTTTCCAAGTTTTTTCCGCTGGATTTTGTTTTGATTTGCATTGCGAAATCCGAGTGAAAAAAACTTCTAAAATTGGTGGCCAAGCATTCTTATAGAAAAAATCTCAAGAGAAAAATTCAAACAGAAATTCGAAAACTATTGACTTTTTCTTAAAAAACAAATAGACTTTTTCAATAGCATTCCAATAGAAATTCTATAGAAACCCCATGGAATTCCTGTAGAGTTTTCTAGTGAATTCACCAAGTTTCTATTGAATGTTTTGATACGTGTGCCAATTTATGGTGGCAACTGACTTCAAAGCTCTTACAGCTATAGACAAATTCTATACCAAGTGTAACCTCCGCATATAACCAATGAATATATAGTAAAGCAATGTAAAAACCAAATGTATGAAACCTTGCCGATAGAACAACTAACCCGGATATGGGTTTTATACTTTACACCAATAAAAAAACTCATTAGAGTGGGAAATAAATTGTATGAATGAACTGATATGATTGACCATGTAGGTGCTGGCCTTGGTGTATTATCCGGTCAAGGGGGACCCCAGAATTTGCAACAGCCACCGATGTGCCCATCACCGTCAGCCCATTCAGACAGCAGTAGTGGTAATGGAAGATTATCGTCAGCCGGTAGTGAACCTGGTACGCTCAATTTTTTCTAATCCATCAGTAGTGTAATTTTGGCCAACTCTTTCGGAAATGAGATTCAATCTCTGAGCAGATTAAATTAACGAGAGCAGATTTTTGCGCAGGCACCGGTCTACTGAACAACAACAATACCAACAATAATAACAACATGACGTCACCGGGACCAAGTGGCAATAAATTGAGTGAAATGTTGAGAACAGGTAGTCAACCGAGCTCAGCGCAGCAGTACCACGATGAGATGCAGTCACAACAACAGCGTATGGCCGTTATGGCTGCTGCTGTTCAGGCAGTCGGTGAGTGGCATTGATAATTAACAGGGATATAGAACTGGAGAATCACGTACGAAAAAATCCTATAGGATTTCCCATAGGATATTCTATAGGATTTCCTATAGGGAATCCTATGGAGAATTCGAACATTTTCTATAGGATTTTTCAGATAGGATTTGCTATAGGATTTCTTAGAGGATATTCTATACGATTTTCAATAGGATTTCCTATGAAATTTAGGGTCATAAGGGTCAAAAGAGTCATATGGGGGTCATGTGAGGATCATATGAAGGTCATATAAAGGTCATGTGGGGGTCATACGAGGATCATGTGGAAGTCATATAAGGAGTGTTACATGGAGACATGTGAGGGTCATAGGAAGCTCATGAAGATCAAATGACCTTCATATGACCCCCATATAATCCCTATATAATCTCCATGTAACTCCTATTTGATCCCATATGATCCTGATATGATTCCCATATCACCCCCGTATGACCTCCGTATGATCCCCATATTACCCTTCAATACCTCTAATATGACCCATTAAGACCCATATATGACCGTCACATGACACGTTTGACCCTCATTGTGGCCCTCATGCCCCTAAATTTCATAGGAAATTCTGTTGAAAATCTGCATATGAAATCCTATAGAAAATCCTATGGAGAATTCGAACATTTCCTGATTTCCTAGCGAAGGATTTCCTGTAGGAAACCCTTCGCTAGAAAGGAAATCCTTCTTAGAAATTCCTCTATGATTTCCTACAGAAAATCCTATAGGATATGCTATAGAAAATCCTATAGGATTTTTTCATACGTGAAAAGTCAACTAAATCCAATATTTTGTCAACAGGTTTGCAAAATTCAGTGTCGCCGAATCTTTCGCCGGTTGACGTTGCGTCTCTAGCAGCAGCAATGCGAATGGGCAACAACGGTGACATGACTGGCAATGCTCAAGGTTCGACGGGACAACAGCAGCAGAATGTGCAATCTGGTGGTCAAGCTGAACAAGCCATCAGAATGCACCAGGCTGAGGCCCTGCTGAGGTCCCAAGCCGAAGCCGCCCTCAGACTTGCAGTGAGTATTGAAAATTCAAATTTATGACTTCATATCCATGAGCATTAACGATATCATGAGAACTTGAACATGACGATTATCTCCCACGAATGGAGAAAGTAAGGCGGTTTTCATGAGTACAATCGTCTTGCGACAAATTTTCATGAAGCCCGTTTAACGAACAAAAGAGAATTGAATACGAGTCTAAAAAACATGAATAAGCGAATCATAATTGTCCAAATAATTTGGGTCAGAAGAAAATAGAATAATTCTGCTTTCTTAATATTGCGGTTACTAAGGTTTTCTCCGAGGAAAGATGATTAGAATTAATAGCTTAAATTATGAGATTAACTCACACTTTTGACGTTAAGGATAGGAGAATCTGAGTGCAATATAGTGAAAATGAAGATCGATTTTTTTACTTTGAAGAGATAATATTAATATCCAAATACAAAATTTCTGATATGAATGAGAAGAAGCTGTGTCAATATTCAAAATGAAGTTTTCAGTTTTAATTTGGTGCTGCTAATACGAGATGGGGATATTCTAAGCACGGAATAATATTGATGAGATGAACAACAGATTAATTGAATTACCGTGTGCACTAACTAAAAATTGATAACAGTGTAGGCACGCTATTTTATCAGAGTATCAACAAACATTGAATTCCAAAAATTCGCACTCTAAAGTGTGTTCTAGACGTAATTGGAATGTTATTCAGTGACCATAGAAAATAGAACATGACCAAATCATTCATTGTAATATGAAAGTTTAACAGCTGATGAATTGGGATATCTGATTCCGATTGGTCGTATTGCTTTTGCCAGCAAGAATGATTATAATGATTAATTGCAAATAGGAATATCGAATGTTTTGTTTTTTGTTGATTGTTTTAAAGTGACGCAATCCATCTATTGGATTATACACACCATCACATAATTATGACGTATCTATCATTTTGCGTCCAGTTATCTAAATCTGTAGTTTCCAGTCCTTCAGATATTTATGTATCTCGTTTACATAATTGTGGTCAGTTGCGTCTGCGAATTTCCTGACGATAAAGGACCTAGAACAGTTCGAGTTACTCAGTCTAACTAGAAGCTTAGATCTTCGTAAGAATATCGAATCCGCCAGGAAAAAGAGCGCAGGAAAGGGCATCAACACGCCAATTAGATTCCACCCCAAGTCAATTATACAAGCGTTAGATCGAGTTAGTGAGATATTTATGACTCCCAATCGTACCTTGATATCCTGAAGTATAGGAAAGCACTCAGAGTGATTCTTCAATCACTGATGGTAACCGCACATCGAGTAATACCTAAATGATATAATCACCAGGTATCACAGGCAGCGGCAGCAGCAGCAGCAAGCTCAGCGGTGAACAGTGACATGAGGCATCATCTTGGACAGCACAATGGTGGTAGTACGTCCGGTATGTCTGGCCATCATGGTAATCAACAGCTGTCACAGCCAGACAGTTTATCACCGGACTTAGGTAAGTCGAGCCAGATGATGAGGAGCCACGGTGAAGACATACAATCCACCAACAAGCGCGTACGACTAACCGCTAGCCTGATTCCATCATCAGGGGAGGCGCTTAGACTACAGGAGCAACGATTAGAGCAGGCACTGAGGCTACACGGTGATCCGCGTGCACTTGGTTTTACCCTCCAGCACGTTGTTAATCAGCAGAACAATCAGCAACCATGAAAGTTCAGTTACTACTGAGACGAGTGGACCCCTTGGACAAATGACATGTCCTTACCGCTTGAACGTGATCAGATGCAACAGTTGCATCAGCAAAATCAGTTGCATCAGCAAATACAACTTCAACAGCAGCAACAACAGATGCAGCAGCAGGAGCAACAACGTTCAACGCCGATGGATGATCAGCAGCAAATAACAACAGTTATTGCTAACGATGGTCAACATCTTGGGGACAGGGGAGTCAAGAGGAAGGCCGATGACATGGCGGCCGGTGAGAATACGCAGAGTTAATTCTCAACCTTTTGATTATCTTTCTATCCTTGTCCAAGTGTGGTCACTATCGCATACACTCGCTGTCTCAGCAGTACGAATTTACATGAAATATATTCCATACTTATGCATCTCAATACCATTAAACTGACAATACTTACTTTGTGAACAAAACTGGCTTTCGTCTTCCATATTGAAAAGAGAGGGGCACATTCACATCATGTTGTGTAATCAAGGAATGATTAACTTGAGCCATTTCAGTTCACAATGAGTCAATGACATTTGATTCAACCATCAGATCTCAATGACTATTTGGAAAAACATTCAAATATTCCAGTCGTCATACGGCTTGACCTTAATACAATGTCTGAAATATTGACAGGCTGGGTTGTCTATACCCACTCACGTGCCATAATAATTGCGCAGAATTCTTAATCGAAGCCAAAAGACATTGGGTAATTATCCAATTTTTTTTGGTGGATTGAACCAGGTACTATAGCCTTAGTACAAGAGTCGCGAGTCTAATAATGATGCATTTGTGGTTAAAAATCTCACGGGCGATTTCACCAAAATGTCATCCACGACCAACGACTCAATTTACTGTAATGCATATATCCAAAAGGAATGGAAGCACTTGAATTTCTCCATTGATAAACTCCAAAACGGGATTTTAATGTAAATGATGGAATAGTTATTAAAACATTTAAACTAAAATGGTGTCAAATGCCAGGTGCGCGATAACGCGAATAAATAATGTATAAACTAAAGTGAAAAATCAACTGATACGTGAATAATTGCGCGTAATTTGCGAATGATTTAATAGATAAATGTACAGACCGACTTAACTGTATTTGACGGACGTATCTTGACTGAGTATAAGCTGAAAAAAAAAACAATTACAATGTCTCAAAACACTTTGTACACACTATAAATAAAAATATACGGTAATACACTTATACATAATTACACGATATGAACAATTAACGAACAATGATGCTGATATGCGCTTTTTAAGAGGCACATATTGGAGTGTGCGCGCATTGCTGACTATATAAAAATCCCACAATACATGAGTGCTCGGCGTGGCACAAAAACTATTAGTCGATAAGAAACGAAATAAACAAATATTATTACAAACAGTTATATTATATATATTATATATACATACGAGAATCTAAGGTGAATTTCAAACGAGAGAAGAACACATACACGCTGTATAAATAACAAAAATAATTAGTAACAGCGAAAAGAGTGAAGTTTTTCTTTTCACACGTGAGATTGAAACACAATGATGAATTCAGAGAGATTAAAATAAAAAAAAACTAAATGCTAAATATTATATATATGAAAATATTATAAATAATTGAATATAGGGTCTATGAAGTTTAGGTTTAAATAAATGAATAAATAGAATTTGAATAAAATGCATGCGTGCGGGTGTGCACGAGTGTTCGCGTGGCATTTTTTTTTTTCGATTGATGATTTTTCGGTATGTCTGGACTCTATGTGAAGAAAAATGCAAAAAAATGATTAAAAAAAGTGCCTGAATGCGGAGAAATGTGAAAATGCGTCAGTATGAGTGAATACTTTTTCCTTTTATCTTCAAAAATTTCGCCCTTTTCTTTTGGTCGAAGTAAACTATCAGATATCCCGCGCGAATGCTTGTGCACACAGTTTAATGAATGTGAAATTGAGAGATTAAATAAAAAGAAATAAAAGATGAGCGTTAAAATATGTGAGTGAGAATTTAGAGTCCTGTGTGCTTGAGGTAATCTGAGGTCCTGTGATCGTTAATAAGCGAAATATTTTTTTATTTCCGATAAAAAAGATGAAAAATAATAAGAAAAAAAAGTGGGTAAACACGTTACACTTTGTGCGTCGTTTCGAATCTTTTAAAAAAAACCTTTGCAATATAAATATCGTTACGTTCTCGCAATATTAAGCAAAAAAGTTTAAAAATGAAAATACAAGAAGGGAAGACTCGAGTGGGAGAACAAGTTATAAATGATAAAGACGAAAAAAACGATTATGTGAACGAAAAAAAACGAAAAAAAGTCCGTGAATTTTTCAATTTCCGCCGGTGAGGTGGCGCGTACCCTTGCGTTTGGATAATGGTAATTGGTCGTCCGTGCTCTCTCGATATTGGGGAACTACTAAATTCATCGTTGAATGTGGCGAACATCTCGAGTATTATGATCAGTTGTTAGAATGGACATCACAAAGTGCGACAAACAGAAAATAAACAGAAAATTCTCGTTCAAGGGGAGACCGCGGTGAAATTTGAAAGTTAAAGGGAGTTGGCTCTATCATACGGATGACCTTGGTGCTTATTTGTTGTACTCAAAAAATGAGAAAACATCGAGTATCAATTTTTTCCAGTGACGGCATGTGACTGGACAGGCATCAAATCTTTAAATAATCTTTACCAGAACTTTTGATGGATTGACTTGAATTTCGGTTTCAACAGATGTAATTGACGAGAAGAATGTGTGGGCTTTTTTGAAAATTCCAATTTTTCGATTTTTTTTTCTAGGAATTGGTTCGTCTGACCCACATATAGCTCCGTATGACCCCCCTTGATCCTTATTTTGACCTTTAATTTTGAAGTCGTAATTTTAAATACCAAATACTAGATACTTCATCACCAGAAGTCGATTCCGTTTTTTTACAATTTTTTTTATTATTGATCAACTCCTTCCATCCAATTTACGGTCACAAATATGCAAAAATACAAAAACTTCTAACTTAAAAAAAAAGAGAATTGTCCCATTTTTTTCTATTTTGCCAAAGTTTCGTGTGCCATGACATTTCTTCAGGGCAGTTTATTTATCTCACGAAATTGGGTTAATTTCCCCTCACTTAGCTACCATCCCATCAATAATAAATAATCAACAAATTTTAACTTAAAAAATAACACAAAACTATTATAGCACATTTTTTCAAAGTCAATAATTATTGTAAAAAATTTCCTAGACTTATGTTAGTAAACATTCTATCAGTCATTTTCTATTCTATCAAAATTGAAGAATGAACTGAATAATTGTGCATATAGCACACGAAACGCTGGCAAAATTGAAAAAATGGAAGAATTTTCATATTTTAAAGTTGGAAGTTTTCGTATTTTTGCATATTTGTGACCGTAAATTGGCCGAAAGAAGCTATTCACTAATGATAAACCGAAACGGTTGGATAAATTATGAGCACAATTTTTAAAATATTTGTTTGATATATTAGGGCGGCAGTTTGGTAAAATCAATAATCAAAAATTTTTTGTTAATTGTATTTTATTTACAATATTATTATCTCCACCAATTGGAGGCGAAGGAATCGAAAAAATCGAAAAATTGTAATTTTCAAAGAAGCTTACATTTTTTTTCTACACTATATTACGTATGCACAAACCAGAATTCAAGTCTATTTGAAGATTTTACCCCTACAGCCGCATACCGTCAACGAAAAAAAATTAAAACTCAAATTTTTTCTCGTTTTTAGAGTATAAAAATGAGTGTTAAAATCATCAGCATGGAGGGACCCAATCCCCTGCGACTTTCAAAGATCCCCGCGGTCGCCCTCAATTCTCTCGAAAAATTTTTAGGAAAAAAAATTACAAATCGCAGACTGAAGTGTGCGGAATGAATGGAAGCGTGCCGAATTTCGTTCTGCCCATGGCCTACTCCTCCCTTCCTACGTCCCCTCCTCGCAACTTTGAGATGATACTCTCTCCTACAATTCTTCATTCAAAAATAAAAAGCTAGGTCATAGCGGAATGCTAGACATCTCGGCCAGCAATTGGAAACAAATATATCGGGGAAATAAAAATCATTTACGCTTTATGAATTTCAATGATGTTCTCCAAACGCGCAAACAAACAGAGGACAAAACGAAAACTAGCAAAAGGGATCGTATTAGGAAGATTCAGAACAAACAAATCGTCTTTATTGATACATATATGATAACACTCAAGGCTTCTCACTATCCGAATGAGATAAGAAACGCCAATGGATTCATCGTAAAAGCTACAGTTTTGCGTCCAGATCGATTTGATTCGTCAGTTGGACCTGGATAAAACGAAAATATTTTTGTCAAATCCCCTCATCCCTCGCAAAACTCCAAGACCCAGAGGAAAACTGAAATTAGAATGACAGTCAGGTACCGATGAATGATTCCCATCGATCTGGATCGCCTCTCCGTTTTATCTTCCCAACGATTTTTTACGTTACAGCGTGTTTTTCCTACGGATAAATTTTTCCTTCTGTTGTCTGATTAATGTACATACACCGCAGGATGAAAAAAAAAAGAAATTACCGCAGAACGAGCAGTTGAACCGCAGTTAATGCCCATAAATCATAATGCAAAATAGGATTAGGTTTGTCAGTGTAAATACCTAAAGCGTATTGAGCGGGTGCATACCCCCGTTAATCGCAACCAACGTAATACTTTTTAATCGCAAACGATGATAAAGATATAATAAAAAAAAACATGCAGAATACCGTGCTTTATTTGATCGTTTGTTATCGAACGGTCCGACAAGCAATTTTATCATTTCATTAATTTTTTTTACTCTCGACACAAACACACACGCACACTATGAAATTCATTAAATTTACCAATACGGCATTGCGATGGATTGTACAGATAGGATAGATGTAAGCCTTTAAAGTGAAGAAAAAATAATAACACACGTTTTTACACACTTTGAGAAAATGGAAGTGAAAAATCCGCACAAACAGTAT